CCTACTAGATAGGAAATGAGGGAAAACTGCAAGATGACGTCAAGCTCGGAAGCCTTTACACTGAGAAGGATGTCTATCTACATTTCTGAAGAGCCAAAAATAAAGAAATCTCATCAAGTGACATGACATCCCGGGTAGGAGTTGCAGATTTTCATGAGTAGGCAGAATAGACAGATAACTGTGACTCAAGAAGGAGCACTCCCTGTGCGTGGAAGGCCGGGACCCAACCTGGGTGGGGGGTTGGCTATGTGACTAAAACTAGCAGTCAGGTGTGTCATTAGGGTCAAGAATCCTGTCCCATCGTACATCCCTTTGTTCCTGGCCTTTGTATTCTCCAATGTTGCCTGCCAGCAAAAAAAAAATCACTTCCTTAATAACAAGCCAATTTTACCATGGAAAGATTTAGAATGAAGTACAAGTTCTTTAAGAAAATCAAGACCAAGATATTGTTAGTTTATATTAAGGAATTGTGCATGTTTAGTATTTTAGGTATGTATAATTTTCAAAATTATTTTGTCTATTCAGAGTTGCCTTGTAAGCTCAACTTATAAATGTACAATTGAGTAAACAAATCTAGGCTTATGATTTTATTTTATTTTTATGGGCAGTTTATACACAATATTGCAGTATGTAAGAAAACAAGTTTCCCTACATTCTTAAGCTTAATAGATTCACTTATTTGTATGTCTAATAAATAAGATTTATAAGAATAACTTAATAATTTGGGAAGGTTCATAAGTTAGTCAAAGTACTTAAGAAGGATATTAAAAATATTGAATTCATAAATGCAATTTAAAATATTAAAGGGAAGTCTAATTACTTAAGCTTAAAGATTGTGCCCAAACATTAAAGACTCCTTAAAATCAGATGTTAACACATAGGAACTAATCAGTGGGCACAGAGAGATGTAGTGGTCGCTAGAAATCAAGAAGGGGGGGCGTGGAGGGATAAAAACCTATTTCTCAGGCACACTAAAGCCCTGACTTAAGCACTATACAAGGCATTCATGTAAT